CAGATGTTGGTAAAACTAAGGATTCAATAAATAAACCATGTGAATTTCAGCTTATAATATCTGCTTTGATTAGAAATATTTACAATAACTTATTTGGTATTATGAGATGTTATGTAACTCAAGAGTTATTCATCATATAATAACATATATATATATATATATATGCGTGTGTGTGTGTGTGTGATGATATTTTAGTTAGGGTGTCTAGTCACTACACTTTTATTGGGTAGTTGTTGAATTCTTTCTCTTTCTCTTCAGTTTCACTTCATTGTCATTTCCAGAGTTGTATCTTGATTTAAAATGTGGCAATATTTTGTGAGATCATATGAAGTGTAGTTTTTGTTGGGTCATTGGGTCAAGTTTCTTAACCTCCAAAGAGTTCTGCATTGTCTCTTGGGGACATAGACCATATCCATAGAAGTTGTAGTCTTACACTTCATTTGCTTAATGTAAGTGACAACATAACCGATAACATTATCATAGAAAAATTTCAGGACACCATGGGTCTCTTTTTAAGGGAGGCTAGACATGTTTCACTCTATCTCTGCAGATAAGACAATAAATAGGTGGCTTGGTGATATTCTGTACATTATCACAGAACACCTTCTGGTGATGCTTAGCACCACTCTTTCCCAATTCTTTTCTTCCTGTTCTTTGATCAGACATATTGATCAACTCAAAAAGCTGATGAAGAATCAATTTTGTCAAATACAGCTACTCCCCAAGCCACAGTATATAACCAGTGGTAGCAGGAGCAAATTACTTTAGATTTGTACAACTCATTGTTAAAAAACACAACTATCCAAGATTATTTTCCATCAGAAAAATTCTGTTTCTTCCTGTCTGCCAATTGACTCATCAATACAACCCCTAACTAATCAAACAATGCTTTATCTTTCAAATCTTGAGATTCCTATTTTATGTTGCTACTCAGCTAAGAGTGACAGCATGTCTTATGTTTTCAAAACTTTATTGTACTGACAGTTCTTGTAAAATATTTCTTATTTTATTCAGAAAATCAATCCATTAATTTAATAATCCTGTACTTATAAAATTCTGGCTATTTTTTTATCATTTTAATTTCAAGTAAAATAAGCCTAAAAGCAAAGCCACCAGCACCATTGCCTTGCAAACAAAATAAACCATCACCATGTAAATGACTTTTCTATAATAGTTATTGTTATTTATTTTTTAATTTTAAATATATAAAGATTGCCATGGGTCATAAAAATAAAAACCTCAAGAGAAACAATATAGTGTAGTGATGAGAAAATAAATAACTTTGGAAATTTTGAAAAAGTTGAACATAGCAAACAATCAAAATAGAACTTGAAATAAAATGGTTTTGAGAAAGGAATACATAAACTAAAAGAGATTTGAAGAAGTTTCCCTGTATAAGGAATTCTTAAGCTCGGGGGAAGAGGTTAACTAGTGGTTGCAGTTATGGCTAAACAGCACAGTCATTCAACTATTTAAATGAAGGCAACCAATTGAGGGAATTCAAAAAGTGGCACAGAGAACAGAACTTTTGTGGCATCATCCAGCAGTGAGAGTGTGGGTCTACTTACTAGCAGCAAGACCAATTCAATCTTCTACTCTTTCAGTAACTGATTTTATGGGGGTGCAAACCTCAATTGCACTGCTCTGATTGGCTAGCCAATAATAATGCTTGACCAATGGTCTTGTGTCATATGCCTCAAAGGGGCAGAAGGGATGCTCCCAAGAACCCAATAAAAATAGTGGCCCTGTTTTGTAAGTATCAGAGAGAAGTTGAGAAGCTCCATTCCAGCCCTTCTCTCATTGACGGATCAGTCAAAATGGTGGCCTTGTATTGTTCATATACACCATCAGTGGAACATTTTCAATGTTCCAGAATGTCACTCTCATTTGACCTGATTATCACAGGTGTCTTCATCACCTCCATCTGAAAGTATGTCATATCCCTGATCAAAACAAACCTGACCTGTAAAGATATGCTTTGTGTCACTCATTTCAACAAATAATTTCTTTATTAAATGAAAAAACCTAATACTCTTCCTAACGACCAATCCCACCCAAGCTTACAATTTCACCTCTCACACTATACTCCGTAAGTGACACAAACCAGAAAATTCATGGTATTGCATTGTTTTAATATGAAAAATATTTTTCTTTCTTTATAAATAAAAATTAGATCATCAGTCAACCTTTTACACCAGTCATGGTGCCATACATGAAAGCAAACAAAATTATCACCTTTAATCATCAAAAAGAGAAACCTGTAAATTGGGCAAAGAGGTATATGAAAACTGATTTCTGAACAGTAATTTTTAGGGATGAATGTAGAGCTGTATTAGATGGACTTCATTATTGATTGAGAGAGTTGGTCCTTTATAGAAATATTCAGCCAACACAACTTTGGAAAAAATAGTGGAGAAGTAGAGTAATGTTTTGAGAAAATTACTACAAGTCCTTTCAAAGTTGATGACTGCCAAGATAAATGCAGAAAATTCTTGTAAGACATTTTTTGAGTGGCACAGGCACTAAATGGCACTAATAAGCTTTAAGCTAAAATGTATATTTATGCAAAACAATGTTCCCTCACATTCTGCAAAGCTCACTATTGCCCACCTTGCCAAAAAAGGTCTCATATTAATGGTATGGCCTCCAGCTTCCCCAGATCTTAATCCAATAGAAAATTTAGAATGAATTGAAATGGATGTATATGAGAATGGAAAACAATATTCACGCAAAGAATCAATGAAAACTGAGGCAAGTAATGTTAGTGGAAACAGTAGAAAAATTAAAATCAATGAAAAACTGACAAATGCTATGGAAATTATATTAACATGAAAAATAATAATATAATAATTTATTTGGATATATGGTATACTGTATTGATCAAATATATTTCTGTGACCTATACCTTTTGGATTCATTGATTTAAAATTTATGTTGCACTTTGCATAATAAACTACAAGTTATTAATAAAAAGTATATTCAAAATAAATGATATAAAGGAAAAGAAAATTTCAAATGTTAGCAGCATATAGATACAGTAAATAGGGAAAAATTATTTTCATTATGGTTTGGCTTATTGAACAAAGATTTAAGAAGGTCTTTCCATGTCTGTTGCAGGTTTTCACATGGTTAGTGAAGCCTATATGATAACTGTTGATATGATGTGCCAAAAGCTATAAGATAATAATATGTAATGGTAATGGTGTGTAGCATCACCAGATACATATCCAGTAGGTCATTTCAAAGTTCTTTAGCTTCCATAAAAATATGGTGGCAGAAGAACCATCAGACTGACCTTGTTAACATCACTACAGTGGACATACTGCCTCACTTGGGCTCATGATATCACCAAATGGACCTTTAAGGACTGGCAACACGTGACATAAAACCAATGTGTCATGGTACCAATTGTTTGAGATGGACAGTAGAGTTCAGTTATGATGCATGTCCCATCAGACTATGAATCTTAATTCTTACTAAGTCACCATGAAAGATAATGATGATTCCATAACAGTATTTGCATGTATTCATGTGACATGACAAAGATTATACTGAATCAATTGCTAGGTCTGGTGCTAGGAAATTTGGTTTAGTTTGTCATGCTAGACAATTTTTCTAACTCAAATCTATCCTATACATTTATGTTTACCATTCATCCATATTGCTGCCACATACAGTCTGGTGCTCCTGCTATATATAGAGAGATTCTTGATAAAATCCAATGTAATGGAGGTAGATTGTTCTCAATCCACTGTCCATATCTAGAGATATCTCATCTTGTTCTTATTTACTACTGCTCAGTTATTGCTCACCCTATTCCCACCAAGTCTAAATATGCACTACCCTCCACAAATATTGAACTCACATTTACTATATCCCCCAATTCATGAAACAATGCTTTAATCCACTGGGACAATCCTGAGTATAGAAATTGGAGCTTTAAATCTAATCTACCTGCTGCTGACACAGCTGCTGCTTCTGCTTGTCACACTTGACTGCATTCACCAAGGTTTCTCTTCTTAATACTGCTGCTGCCTTGCTGTCATTTCCCTTTATTTAATAATGGCTTATGCATTTATTTCTATGCTAGGTCTATTGAGATCTATATGCAGCTGAGCAGATTCCTGGTGGATATAATCAATCTACTAACTAAGTTTTCATCATGCATTAAAAACTCAAAATGATCTGAGGGGATCCCATCAATAACAATACAGATGGTAATGGATGTAATGAGCCTGTTCACCATGGTTCCTCTGGCTGAGTTTTTAGTGATGATTCAAAACTTATTGGCCCCCTACCTTGAAAACGTCCTAGCACACCAATAGATATCCAAATGAAAATATTGACATTCTGTGTACAGACAACATTTTTCAACTAAGGTCTGACATATATCATCAGGAGGAGGGCTTGGCTATGGCTTTGCCATTGTTGCCAATGATGAGAACACAAAAATGGAATAGTTCTAGGAAATGAGTCTAGGAATGGCATTACTAAAGCCAACAGTATGACTGAAATATGTAGATGACACTTTCATACATTAGCTTCACCAAAAAAGTGTACCATGTGAACTCAGTAAGACCTTTGATCCAATTCACAATGGCTTTCTTGGATGTACAAATAACTCACACAGAGAACAGGTTCAACATCTCCATATATCACAAGGCAAACTTTATCATAATTTTGTTGTGTTAACAAAATCTGACTATGTTAATGAAAGTTTAACTTAAAAAGTAATGAAAGGAGAAAAATTAAAATAGAATAAAATAAACAGAGATGATTCCTATTTATAATTCAAGCGGGTTTATTTAAACAAAGGTAACAAAAAAAATGCTGTAAAGTTGAATACATGTCCATCATGAAGGAAATAATTCTTTAACACAAAAAAAAATATGCAAAATGAAAAATTGTCCACCTACAAATGCAAACAAAGATCATATTGCTGTACCCTTTTTTTATCAAAGTTTGAATACTCTTGTTCTCCTTTTCTTTCATTTCCTTAGCGACACAGATTTTTTTTCTTTTTTGAGACCTCTCATCCAAATAGACTTCTTCTCTTGTAGTCTGTGTGGGGAAAGGCTTTCTCAGCACAAATTCTTGAATAAGTCAGCACTCCTGCTTTTCTTCCACAAGTGTAACTTTAATATCTCCTTGAAATCTTCTCTAATAAATTCTTCTTCTTCATGAGAGATTTTCTCATTAACTGTACATTCCTCATAAGTACTTGTCCTTTACTGAACAAATTCAGTTATTTCTGTTAATTTCTTTTGGGTTCTTCAGTTGAACTCCATATAAAAACAGAGAAAATTACTCTGCTCATTTTTTTAACAGCCGAGCAAAAAACCCAACCTTCCTCATGGTTCACTAAGTTTCAAACTGACAATTCTACAACTTCAATGATCACTGTATCCATATGTAGAACACAGTCAATGAGAACAGACCTTCCTTCCCTACATGAATTACTACTAAATTAAAAAAAAGAGACCCCTGTGGATTTAATCAACAGTCTACTTACTACCAAACTTGTTACAATGAAGTCATGGGTAAATGTTGGCATTCCTCTCAATAAATCATTTCTTCCTAAAATTTTACACACACTCTGAAGAGAAAAAGAAAATACTTTTAACACTATTTTTGAACAGGGAAAGGGGACATTTAATTAGGGAAGAGTTATAGTCCTTTTCATTCTCAATAAGAAATTTAAATCTCTATGTACTGTTTCAAAACAGAGTGAAGCCAAACCACTTCCTCTTTGCCTGACAAACTTCCATAACAGACATTTTTCTATTTTTCACAATAAGTAATTGGCAAACAGAAAGGTTGAAGACAAAGTGGCTTTGATCATCACCACTGTCCTTCAATAGCAACTCCATATCACAAAAGAAAATAGTAATCACTCTACAGTAATACATCTAACTAATACCACAAATCATGAGTCAATTCTCTCAATCCAAAGAGATATTCCTCATGCCACAAACTCTTAAATATCTGAAGAAGGAGATCTCTATGATCCAAATTCTTCAAAAGATCACACCTGGCAAGTAGTGCCTCTTCAAAGAAACTCTCATACGAGTTTATAAAAATAGCACTACTATAGTGCTGTTGAATAAACACATTAAGGGATATGATATCCAAACCTGCATCCCCTGAACATTGGTAAGTGATGGGATGAGAGTTAACTGCATTTTGGATATCAGATAAAACAGTAAGAAATTCAAAATAAAGCAACTTCTGTCACACCACTAACTAAGACAACATTTCACATTTAAAATGCTAGGAATACATTTTATACAAAGAAAGACTGACAACAATTCAAGAGAAGGCAAAATTCTCTTTATCAAAGAGGCAACCTTAGGCTTTAAAAAATATCAAATTTGCTGACCCACCCTGAAAAATGTAAGAAGCAAACCCAAATGCCCTTTGAGACACATCACAAAATTTAATTAACAAAGCAGGGGTGGAAGAGTCCACAACAAATCTAGGAAATCTTAAACTATCCAACTGCACAAGGTCTTCAAATAACTTGTCCCAAATGCATTGGAGTTGATGGAACTTTATGATCCCAAGTTAACTTCATCTTCCAGATTTCAATAAGGAGTTGTGGGACGAAACGCAACAACTCAACTGATGATAGCAGGTAGAACAAAGAAACCGGTGTCGCACGTCCAACCTTCTCACGAGCCGAAAGCTCTCTGATCCGAAACAGCCGAGGACCGACCACGATTTGCATGCGAATGACGAGACAACGAAATTTCGCGTTAACTAACCGAGACCGCCTGGCATAAAATATGGGCGCCGCCATTTTGGTTCCTTTTACCGTTGGGAGGACCGGAGTTTGCACACTGCACAGATTCGCACGCGTTTCCGAGATAAGCCATTTTCACAATTTTCCCCACACTCCCCCATGATCACAAACAGGGCAAGGAGGTGGCGATCGTCGCCGTCGAGTCCCCCTCCGAAGGGGGACAACACAAGCTTCATCCTCATGCGTGTTCTCGTCTGTGGTTTGAGTGTCGGTAAACACTGTGTCCGCCGGGAGGCTGCTGTTATCAGAATCACTGCCCTGCAGGTCTAACTCAAGGCAGATCGAACGCTCACTACTCTCAGACCCGGAATCGCTTTCATCGCTCAGTAACGGTAGTGATTGCATCACGGGTCGCAAGTCTTTAATGTGACGAGACACCCCATCAACTCTCACAGATTGCGGGCTAATCACCTCCGTAACACGCCCAGTGCCGTATTTTGTCGTACACTTGCCGCGTGGGTTTTTGACCCAAACAACGTCTCCTTTTTTCAATCTCCCTCCAGTCACTTCTAGTTCAGGCAGCGGGTTGGCTTCGATGCCTTTCACACGGACATGATATTTGTGCAGTGCATCAGCCGGCGCCGTGGATGGTGAAACGTTATCTTTCGGGGCGACATTATACCAGTAAACCGCCTCCGATACTGTACAGCCCTTCCTGGCTGCGATGGTCTTGATGGTTCTGTGGTTCCGCTTCACGATGCCGTTTCCACTTGGCGAGTAGGCACATCGAAACCGCAGATGCACGTCCCAATTGTCCGCAAATTCTTTAAAGTCTTTACTGGTGAATTCAGTATCGTTGTCCGTCAGTATTTCCACGGGTAGGCCTCGCTCCAGGAAAACATTCTCCAACAGTCGAATGACGGTGCTCGCGTCTTGTCTGCGCAGCGGCCGCCATACCGCAAACCTGGAGGGACCGCAATCAATAAGCGTTAAAAAATTATCACCATTGTAGTGAGTTACGTCCATCGCCAATCTGCTCCAGTTGCTCTTCACGCTCAGTTCTCCTCTTTCCCAGTGAACGGGTGCTGGATCGATCGACTGACAGGTTGTGCAGGCCTTCACAACGGATTTAACGCTTTCTCTGGACACCTGCGGGTCGACTAACCTGGCGAAGTACAGAGTTCGTTTCACGCCCGGATGTCCGCATTGACGATGGGTATTGGCAACCTGGTCCTCGTGCAGTCGTCTCCCTACCACGGCACAGCTCTCGAGTGCCGCTTCTCCTCTCTTGAGCAGTTCTAGCCACTTGTGCGGTACTCTGGTGAGGCGATCCGCACGGTTCTGACAGGACTGTACGAGTGTCACGTCTATGGTCAATCCATATTCTTCCACCAGCGATCGCAAAATGCCCAGCCGTCGCCTAACCAGCATCTCGCCAGCCGCCCTTGTGTTCACCCGTGCCTTCTCGGTCAAGGTGTCTGAAATCCACCGGTGCACACACGCCGAATCAGTAACCAAGTGCAATGTTGTCGCCTCCCACTGGAGAGCTAGATTCACTCCTTTAAGCGCCGCATGCCTGGCATCATTAGTCGGACGCAGCCAGTACGCATCTTCGATGACATTTCCGTTCGCTTCCAATGCCAATCCTGTCGCCACGGAACTCGCATCCACCCAGACTGTGATCTCGTCACCACTCATGCACCAGTCTCCTTCAATGGGATCCAGTTCCCGCACTCTACTTAACATCTCCGCTAGTATGCGACAGAGAGAGGGATCTTTGATGTTATCATCCCATCCATTGGTTGCTGCGGTTGCCAGGCGCTTGACGAATGCAACTGCCACCCTGAGCCATCCACACACTGGGAAATGTCCAACAAGTTTCCCACACAATGAAAACACGCGCCGCCGGGTCAACACATCAGGGACTTCCGGAATTTGACTTCATCGTTTCCATCGGAGGGTGCCATTTTCTTCCCAGACCTGCAAGCCAAGAACTCTTGCTCCATCTCTCAGTCGCACCGGATCCTTGCACACCAAACCGTAATCCGAAAAGTGTTGTCTTACACGCGATGCAGAGGCCAAACTTTCATTAATGAAGATATCATCAACGTATGCTGATGTGGCACTTTCAATTGTGCGGTCTTGCGATGCGATGGCGTCTATAACGGATTTCATGATGAGTGGCGCTACATTTAGCCCAAATCCTAGCCGCGTAAGACAGAAGCGTTGGCCTTTGAAAATAACCGTTTGAAATGGCCACAGCGCTTCGTCGATGTGAATCTGAAGATATGCGTTCCGCAGATCCAGAAGCGACACATTGACCCCCTGCCACTGCCACGTTCTCAACTTATGTGCGCACACTTCTGCATCGGCAGTAAAAACATCCACAAAGTCGTTCAATTCGTGGTAATCGAGTACCGGACGCACCTTCTGTTTCTGCTCCTGCACAACTGCCATCAAGGGAATCAGACCCTTTGGGGGTCCCAGTCTTTCCTGGGGGTACGGAATCAACCAACCGTTCACAATCCACTGCTGAAGCTCTTTCTCGTATTTTCCTCTGATGCTGTCGGGAACTTTGTACTCTGCGACCTTGTTGCGAAGCTGAACTGGTGGGTCTTTTTGGGCCCATTTCCAATTGGCGGTCCACACCCTCTCGTCGGAATTGAAAGAGACGTCGAAATCCGGCTCACTAATGCAAAGGGCTGCACACACCTTTCTTCCGTTACCCAGTTCCGCATTTCCGGCTGGCGGGATTATCATGCCTCCTAACGCTCGGATCGCATCAATCCCAAGCAGCAGGTCGTACCCGAGGAGCATTTGACGTGCCACCAGAACGTCGACCTTGGCATGATTCCCTCCGTCTGTGAGGACTGATACAGTCCCGACACCACAACAGGCCCGGGACACTCCGTCAATCGTCCGAATCTCGATTTGTTGACTGCTCCATGTCACGCATCGATCCGCACTAACGATCGATCGGGAACATCCAGTGTCAACGAGCGCCGAACATCGTTTACCCTCAACGTACACGTTGACAACAGGCAATGCCGCATTTACTGACCGAGAGGGGGCAAGGGTTGCGACAGCATCTTGTCCCCGGACTCGTTTCCCGAGCAATCTTGTGCTACATGGCCTAACTCTTTGCAGCGGTTCCGTCGGCTGCTCCCGCCTCCTACGTCACTTCGGCTCCGGCAGTCTCTAGAGAAATGGTTGGGTCCACCGCACTTGTAGCACTTTGGGCCCTCCCGCGGTGTCTCAGGCGTTCTCACGGCTGCCGCGACCTGTTCCGTGTCCTTCAAGATGTTTCGGGCCCTGGCTAGCAATTCGTCAATTCCCAGTGTGTCCAATCTTGAAGACAACGAGATTTCGCGTTAACTAACCGAGACCGCCCGGCATAAAATATGGGCGCCGCCATTTTGGTTCCTTTTACTGTTGGGAGGAC